GATGACTGTCTTGTTCTGCCAGTCGCGAGAGATGGCAAGAGACTATATTAGTACGGGACAGGGACGCTACCACAACTGATCGCAAGTGCTGCTACTGGTGCTGGCCAAAACGCACCTGTCTCGCAATGCCTTCTTCGAGTTGAAAAAGCGTGTCCAGGCCTCGAGTCTTGATGCCTTGAAGCAGCGACGTCGCGATATTCATGTGCGCATCGATGGTCTGCTTCCGAGCTGTGAGCTCCGGCAATGCAGTGACTGCCGCTTTCAGGTGCGCCGCATTAGATGACAGATCTCTACTCGTGCCACGCGTCGACGAGTCCCGGAATGTCAGCTTTGTACGAGCGGCTGCACGTCGCATCTCCGAGGCAGCATCAGGATGTTCAGTCACGTCACCCTACTCACAGCTGGCCAACTTCATCCATGCTGCTGATACCGGTTGATCGGGTGATATCGGCCGCGTCAGACTTGTATCTGTTCAATTCTGCGTCGATATCCTCTGCGACCTGCGGAAAGGGTGTAGAAGCGTTCTTGGCCCAGAAAAAGTCCCTGCTATCCAAGTCATATGATCGCTTTTGCGTCTTGCCCTGCTCAGTGGACTGTTGGCGACCTCGCACTGCGGTCAGCGCCAATTGCTTAAGCAAATCCATGGGACACAAGGCGCCATGCTCACCACAACGGTGACCCGGTTGAGGTTCATGTCCAGCACATCGTGAACGAGCGCCTGATAAGTCCAAGAATGTGAAAGCATTGGTACCAGGTCGACATTTCGGTCAAGGACGACGAGCACTAAGGCGGAGGACAGGTCAGGACGTAATCCTCCCGTGCGCAACATTCCCACACGGAAAGACTCACGCGGTCGACTGCTTCCCCAGGGGCTTCCAGCGCTATCGCCGGAGAACAAGTGCGTCGCCCCTCGCGCACTGTTAATGTGCTCCTTGATCTTGCCTTCCAATTTCCGGCAAACAAGCTCGGCAGCATTACCGCGTGGACACCTGATGATTGGCAATGTGCCTTCACGCGCGGAGTGTTGTAGGACATTGGATTCGTCAGCAGAGAGGCTGCTTGGCAGGGTCGAACGCCGGAGAGATGTCTGATGACATGCATCGCAAAGTCGAGCTTACACTGACTCACCCATAGTCGCAAGAATGCTAAACAAGCCGGCTGCGATGCGGTCCGTCTCTGTCTCCACCTCTCTCTCGCCTGCCGCAGCATCGTTAAGCCTTTCGTAGGTGGTCAAATCCCTCTTGCTTGCCTTTTCTGAAGTTCCGTTCACCTGACCGCTCTTCGCTCCCGGCACGAGCGAGTCGCCCCCCTTGGGTGGACCTGGCAGCAGAGAGAAGAGTGAAGGCTCCAATACCACATAATTCAGATACTGGTCCCATATGCCTGCAATCAAAGATGCTGTCCCATCCCTAGCCACTTGAGCTGCAAAGTCGTCCAAAAGAGTACCGGAACGCGGTAGAGGCGAGACAAAGTTGATGTGGACTGCTTCATAGAGAGACTTTGACATGTCCTGAAGGTAGCAGATAGGCAAATCAGGAAGCGAGCTTCACGCAGGCGTTGAGGACAAGCAACTCACCTGTGCAACGCGGGTCAGATTCTCCTTTGTGGGCGCGATGAAGTAGATCGCCGGCACGTCTGGCAGTGCTGATCGGTCCGCGTGGAGTTGCCTATAGGCCAATGTATCAGGAGCGACGCGAGCGCGGCAATTCAGCAGCGATGCCCAAAACTCGTTTGCAGATCAAACCTTTGAGGACACGTCCGCTCTTGATGGCACAACAATTCACTCACATGTGCAAAGTGACACCGGCCTCTCTGAGATCTTGCACTCTCAGGCTCGTAGCAAGCACCTCTTGCGCGATCTTGTCCAGTATCAATACCTTCCAGACTGGTGGTGCATCCGGAATGGTGATCTCCTTGCCCTCCTTACTAGCACCATTTGCATCGTAGACAGCACCGCCCACAACATCTGACCCATTTGTACTACCAC